ATTAAAGAGGGTACGCAAATGACAAGTACATGCAAGTATGTTCAATATCCTTAGTCATTTGGAACTGCAAATCAAAACCACGAGATACCACCACACACTCATCAGAAAGGCTAAAATTTAAAAAATGGTGACAATAAGCAAAATAAGTCAGAATAAAAGACTATATACAGGTGATCTTAATTACATGACATTCCAGAAACGGCAAAATTATGAAGACAGTAAAGGAATCAATCAATGGTTGCCAGGGGTTTAGGGGGAGAGAGGGGCTGAATGGGCAGAACACAGAGAATTCTTCAGGCAGCAAAACTACTCTGTGTAATGTAATGGTGGACACGTCATTATATGTGGGAGGTAGATAGACTGAATTCCTCAGAGCCTTCCAATTCAGGATAAGGTCCCCCATCAGGAAAATGTCCTGTAACTATCTTTGCATGGGGAAATAAATCAGCAGTACAGGTGAGCTGAGACCACCAATTAGTAGCTTAGATGAGAGAAGCTGAGATGTCTGCCTGAGGAGATGAAACTTACTCTCCCCTCTCTCTCTCCTGCTTGCCGGGGTTGTCTGGCCATTCAGATGTTCCATTACCCTATGTCCCTGTTTACCCTTTATCCAACCTTCCTGGAGCTGTAATCTCCCCTCTCTCATTCTTAACCTTGACTGCTGACTACTGACTGCTGTGCATTCTTTAAAGTATACTCTGTTATTGTACCCAATAAAAAGACTCCTGTGAAGCAGGACAGGTTGCTTTTCAGGCTGCTACTTGGCACATGAAGCAAAGTATGCCCCTCTAGACTTCCAAGATTTATGCTATAAGATTGGTATATAATTGCCAGGTCATGGAAGAAGCCCAAGTGCCCATCGATCCACGAATGGATCAACAAACTGTGGTATATGTACATCGTGGAATACTATGCAGCCATAAACAAAGATGGAGACTTTACATCCTTCATGTTCACACGGATGGAGCTGGAAAATGTTCTTCTTAGCAAAGTATCACAAGAATGGAAGAAAAAGTATCCAATGTACACACCCCTATTATGAAATTAATTT